CTCAATGTGACCAGAGATGTATAGTTAGAAAATATGTGAAAAATCCACATTTGAGTGCTGTAAAGTTTTCTAAAGAATTTACTGAAAAATATTCTCCTTCAATTTCACTTGAAACTGTTCGACGAATACTTAAATCGGGTGGATTAAATGGGTGCTCTGCTCTAAGGAAATTTTTTGTAAGTGCAAAAAATAGAAAGCTTAGGCTTTTCTTCGCAAAATCAGGGGTAAATAAACCCGAATATGCTAGAATCATGTCTTATTTGCAGATGAATGCAAATTTAACAGTTTGGGTTCCAATGGGTATATAATTGTATGTAGAAATTGTATGTAGGGAAAAAAATGAGAAACATAATCCCAAGACTTTGGCTGGAACACTAAAGCATGGCAGAGAAGGTGTCTTTGTGTGAGACTGCATATTACTAAGAAGATAAAATAATTTAGTATTTATTGATCATATAATGACCCATGATCTTTATTTAAATAATTTTTTAAATAATTTTAAATTATCCTCCCAAAATTTGGGCACTAGAAACAACTTTATTTTTTGTCATAATAACAATCCTAAGCACATAGCCTTCAACATTCGCCTTTGGTGTGTCTATAATTGTCCATGATTTCAGAAAACACCATCTCAGTCACCAAATTTAAACCCAGCAGAGCACATTTGGAGAGAATTAGAGATTAGAGTATAAAGACACAACATTAAAACAAAAACCTAACTAAAAAACAGTAATGATTGAAGAATGGAGGAACATTGATGCAGATATTACCAAAAAAAAAGTGCTGAACTCTATGCCCAGATGTTTGAAAGCTTTCAGAAAAGCTGCAGGATATCCTATAAAACACTGACTGACAGAAATTTACTTTATTTAATAGTATGTGCAGATTTCTTTAAAGTGTACGAAGACTTTATGAGGTAAATTGTATGTTACTTTTTTATTATTAATTTTTCAATAAAGTAGTTTACTGTGTTCATAAAATAATTAAATAGTTTTGCTAAGAGAAATTTATAGATATTATTAAAAATTCTCATTCTAAAATATTAATTTTTATTAATAAATAAAGCAGTATTTCACTGTATTCAGAACCGTTTGCTCACCGAAGTGAATCTCTTCTTTCTAATGATTCACTAGTCACTAAAAATGACCTTGATGAATGTAGGCATGGATTAAGAGCAGTGTGTAGAAATGGGGTAAAGCAAAGCAGAAAGAATTGAACAAGGGTTGGATCACTGGAATCGACTCAACAAAACCACTTACTCCCTGGACTGATTTCTTTCAACTGTACTTTTGAGATTTCATAAAAAACATTTCTACATAGAACAGTAAATTAAATTCTGGAATAAAAAAATGCTAAAAGTTCAAAAATAATGAAAACTAAACTCACTTTTATTAAAGATTATTTATTTTATTACTATAATTGATATTTTGTTGCTTCTACAAAACACAGTGTAAAAATTTTTAGCTTAGGAACAGATCCCAAAGAACAGGAAATTGTCTGCTGACAATACCGGCATTTTCCTTTTTTAAAAAATCTGATTTGACAAAATGATACCAAATATAGCTCGAGGTTCTTCTATTTGATAGGATCCACATTTTGTTCTGCAACCTTGAAACAATGCTTTAAATAGAAAAATGTATGTTTATAAATACTTATGTATACTAATTCTAAAGAACATTAAAGAGAAATTCATAGCTCTTGATTGCAAGATGTTAGTAAAATAAGTAAATAAATAAAAATATAATTTATTAATTTATATATAACTATTACAGTAATATTGTATTAAAAAAAAGGTAATACCAAGGGACTAGTTCCTATAATCTATGTACTTCAAAGACTACCAAGACTTACACTACCAAATGAAAAAAGAAAACCATCCATTTGCAAACAGGGGGTGTCTGTGTATGTAATATTTTTTTTTTTTTTTTTCCTTAAATGCTAGATAGAACACAAGCAAGACAAAAGCACACATATATACATACATAATGCACATACACACATAAAAAATAGGTTAGACACGTTTCCGGTAGATGATAAAAGAGAAACTGCTAGTTTTTACATTAGGAATTAAGTTTTTGGCATGCTTCCCAACAGCACTTGATGAACTATTAATAAAGAACTGCAGTTCCATTCTCGCCAGAGCACTGATCATTCGTTCCGTAAAGGGAATTGGTTCTTTGAATCAATTCCGTAATGGATTGTCCATCTCTAATATATATGTATATATAAATATGTATACATATATCCGAGCTAGGGAACAGAGTGGTTATATATTATATATATATATGTATCACTCTGTGGCAGTTCCGTTTTCGCCAGAGCGCTGATCATTCATTCAGTAAAGTGAATTATTTCTTTGAATCAATTCCGTGATGGATTGTCCATCTTTAACATATATATATATATATATATATATATATCCAACCCAGGGAATAGAGTGGGTATACATATATCACTCTGTTCCTGGCTCGGAGCTCAATTTTCTTTCCATTATATGTCGGTAAATTGTGCATTTTTTGCTTGCAGGTATTTTAATTATGTTGTTCTTATGTTCCATTTAAGAGTTTTATGTCTTTAGTTAATCTGCATGCAATAGTTACAGAATTATCAACAATTTAAAAGTTGTTTAAATGGTACTAACCCTAACGAGGCTGCCATTTGTTTACATTTGAAACTTTTAGTAGAATAATGATTTAAGTCAGTTCATGCACCGACTTCAGTGTCTCTTTGCCAAAGTGGGACCAAAAGTAAACTTTAAATTTTGTGCACCGAAAAATCTGTCTTCTACCTGCTTACCCGACTTGCTTGTTTTTGCATAGAAACTATAATTTAATTGTGAATTTTTTTAAACTGTATTTAGTGTTTTATGTTTTTCTGTGTTTTACAATTTTTAATGAAGATGTTTTGAGTTTTGATATACACTCTTTTGCAAAAAAATCGAAGCACCATGAAGGAAGTGGTTGTTTTTCATGAAATTGAATATGTGTATAGCTCATACACAGATAATAAAATGATTAAAAAATCAAGGTCATAGTGCCTGTTCACAGGCTCACAATCACCCATTGAGTGTTCAAATTAGTAGTTGGTCAAACCGCCTGTAGCGGCAATGCATGCTTGAATTCATCGAGGCAAGGAGTGGTAGAGGCTCCTAATGTCATCCTGCAACATATTCTGCCAGACATTCATCCATTGTTGCTCCAGATCTGTGATATTTTGTGGTGCCCGAATCTGGTGGCCTACTATGCCCTAGACATGCTCAATTGGTGAAAGGTCTGGTGACCTTGCTGGCCAAGGATAAGTATCACCGCGTGTGGAGACAGTCCAGAGATATGCGAGTGGTATGTGCCCTGGCATTGTTTGTTGGAAAATGGCACCAGGATGGCGTGCCATGAAGGGTAATGCAACCGGCCGCAGGATGGTATCAACATATTGTTGAGCTGTTAGAGATATTAGGAGGATGACTAAAGATGACCTGCTGTCATAAGAAGTAGTCACACCAGGGGTTATTGGCTGTATACCTTTGTGAAACAAAGGCTGATCGGGACCGCTGGCCCTGTCCTCTCCAGACATGAACTCTGTGGTCATTTGCTTCAAAAGTGAAGCAGGATTCATCCCTGAATACTATACGATGCCAGTCTGATGGCAGCCATGACGATCAGCTGCGATACCATTTCAGACGACTCCACCGATGTTGTGGGGTCAAAGGCAAACATCTGGAAGGCCTCTGTGAACGTAACCCCGTCTCAGACAAGCACCATGAGATGATGGACGGTACCACGGGAGGTATAGATGGGGCTGTAGTGCGTTGAATAGTCGACAATGATACCGTTAGGGCGGTTCGGGCCTGGCAAGCAATCATCCTATCTTGCCTCGCATTTGTGCTCCTTGGCTCCTTGGCCTTTCAGAGCCATAATTTTGTCGGCAATTTCCTTGTAGCAACCATTGCTGCCAACATCTTTGGACAGCAGTGTCTGTACACTGCAGGTGGAGGCTTATTGCTCGGTTTGACCACCCAGCTTCACGCAACCCTACAATGCGACCATGTTTGAAGTCGTTTAGCTGTTTGTAAGTTTTTTGATATCGTCATGATGGCATCTTTAGTTGCTTCTTTAGGGAATTATAATGGCAGCAACAAAAAGATAAATTTTCCGCCTCTGTTACTGGTTTTATACTTTGCGAATTGCGCACTAGAAATGCACGCTATGATCGCAATTCCTGTGCATCTGCATTGAAACTTTGATCATTTGCATGCTCAATCAAGATGTTTTTGCATACCAAATTTCATCACGATCGCAAAAGTCCTTCTTGGTGCTTCGATTTTTTTGGAGAAGAGTGTATTTTGACTTGCCATGAAGTGAGAACTGAGTTTAAATAAAATGCAGCAAAAAATGTGTATGATTTAATAAGCCGTACAATGAAGTCATATGTGGTGTTCACATCAGACCTTTTTCTTTACGAATCCATTGCTCTGCCAGTTGATCATTAATATGATCTTCATTGTTGTATCATCTTTAATAACCAGTTTGCTTCTAAAATTTTTACATAGGAAATTAAATATCACTATTTTTACTAATAAAAATTTCTTTTAAATCATTATCATATAATGTTAGCATTACTCTCTATGTCCTCATCAATGCTAAATTTTCTTTATGGCATAATAATACGATATTATGTAATGTTTATTATAAAATATATTTTTACATGTGAATATGATTCAGAATAATATAACCGAGGCAGAAAGACAGCAGCAGCAATTAACCATGAGCCTGACACATGTTTGCATTTAGCTCAGTTGATGCACCAGGGCTCTCATGCATGGTTCTTATGTTTGGCCCAGTTTGTTTACTACACGTCTTGCATGGTATTTAAAAGGAGATAAAATAATTTCATTAAAAGTGAAAGCAACCTTTGATTTTAAAAAATAAGTTTAGTTTATTAATCTTTTAACTTATATGATATAATATTTTTTGATAAGTGTATTAATCTTACATTTTTTTTAGGCAAAAAATATTGCATTCCTTACTGAAAACTTTTCTACTGAAAATGAACTCATGACACCTACACTAAAATTGAGAAGAAATAATATTAGGAAAATGTTCCAGCCTCTCATAGAGAAATTGTATGAAGAGAAGCCCTTAGTGAAATCTTCTAGATCCTGATCCAACTTAAAAATTGGATGAAAGTGTTGAAATAGTATTTCAGTATGTGAAGTACCAAAACAGTATTTCATAATGTGAAATCTTTTCATCAAGTGCAAAAACATGTTCTCATGGTAATGGCATAGAAGTAATTTATTTAAATTAATAAGATTTACTGAAATCTGTATTTGAGATCTGTTTTATTTAGGGCTATTTTTGCTAAATGAATGTGGTGTATTTTATGTATGAGATTACGTATATGCATTGGGAATCATAAATTTTCTTGCTCGCAACTTTTATTAAAATGTTTTCTATATTAAATAATGTTATAAATTTAGTATAACAGTATTTAATGCAGGAAACATTACATATATTATTAATAAAGTATTTTAATTTTTGATGCTGCATACAGTTATAATATCTCTCGTATAAACACTAAAATGTTCCTTGTACTAAAAAAAAAAAAAAAAAAAAAAGCCATTGGCTATAAGGGTAGTTCTTCGACTCATAAACAACTTGAAAAATGCCTTCTTTTATGGGATTCATCACTTCATCACCTGGTAAGAGCAACATCCTTTTTGAGGACTTTATCAAAGGATTGAAGTTGAAACTTTTGCCTATGAAATATGTAGACATATAAGACCAGCATTTTTCATTCCCTGCTATAAACATTAAAATGTTCCTTGCATTAAAAAGAATTTGCAATTGGCAATAAGGGCAGTTCTTCATCACCTAGTGAGAAGCAACACCCTTTCCAGAGGACTAAAGTTGAAACATTTGCCAGTGAAACACCTGGACCAAGATCTTCCATTTAAATGGTACCTAGGTTCTACTTTGTAATCTTCAAAGTGTGGGAGTGCATATTATTCTTCAGTAGTGTGACCCGTTTATAAAGATTACCAAAAAAGTTTGCCTTAATTTCAAGCAAAAGACTAGGATCAGATAAATGTCTACTGGTTTAAATTCTCCCATTAATCTCTCGTGTCACCAGTAATAATACTGCATTTAGGCTTGGTTTGGACATGTATCGTAGCATTGATGCCTTAGTATTACTTACAAAGTTTAAGTCTTTTATGATTAGAAAGGAACTCTGCTTAATTCAACTATATGGATAGACCATCATGGATGTATATTGGCTGTCTGTAGCTGATAAAGTGCAATGAATTTCTCATTAATCACACAACCTTTACTCAGTTAAATGGAAGAACTTTGTTCTCCTCTTTTGTGTGATTAGTTTCAGAATTTTAATTAAAGTGCCTTTGAATAATGAAAAAAGAAAGTCTTTGTGGGAGATTTATATTTTTCATACTCAAATTTTTGTTTTAAAGTTATGCTTATTTTTAACAGGTATTTTTGTATTGAAAAAATATATTGATCAAATTATCTTTCAGAATGACTGTTGTTGAATTTATTTTTTAATCTTGTTTTATTTATATATAAAATGTTAACCAGTGAAAAGCAAATACATATAAAGGGATTGTTACTGTTAAAATATTTAATTTTATATATTCAGTATTGTTTTAAATTTTGTTTCTTATTTTGAACTTGATTCAGTATTAATATTTAACAGTAAATATTAATATTTAACAGTAAATATTAATAGCAAAGGAGCAAATTCTATTTATGATCCTAATGTGCAATGGATTTTACTTTTTTATGTATATGTTCCTAAATTTATAATTACAAAAATCCTGAAGTATTTTAATTCCTTTCATAGTCTATAAAAGAATTTTTATGTCAAACATTTACATATATATAAGTTTACTTCAAATTCAAAATTAGGCAAAAATAAATTTTAAGTTGGTTTTGTTGAAACTTTTGCTGTAAAATCAGTAAATTGCTGTAAAAACTGTAAAATCAGTGTCATTTGAAGTTAATTTTTGTTGTTTTATTACAAGTTTTGCAAATTTATTTTAAGCTTATTAGAATGCTGTGTTCTTATTTTATTAACTTTGCAAGAAAATGTAAGTAACATAGTTTCCATATTATGTGCAACTGCTTAGAGAGGAAAAAATTATAAACGTAGTTAAAAATATTCTGTAGAAACACTTGCTTACAAGATATTACATAATCAAACTACATATATATATTTCTATAAAAATAAATGAAACTTTGTGTTCATTCTGTAGCATGTTTTATTCAAATATATTGCACACTTATTTTAAAACAAATAGATGAGGATCATTGTTGCATCACTGAAATCACTTCTTAACATATTACTACTTAAATTTGCATTGCAAAGTGTACATGCAGTTATGTCAAAAAAAAGTCTGCATGCCTTGCTCTTCTCCCAAATAAGGGCGAAAATGGACAAAAACATGCATATGCTGTTTTTGTTTTCAGCATTTGGAAGGTTTTAGCTATTTTATATTTCATATTTTAGAAAATTTACAATAATTTGATCACAGTATTTTTCATATTATATGTGGAACTATTTTGCTTGATAGTCTAGGAAAAAACTTTTTTTTTTTTTTTTATTGTTATTATCCTTTGGCATCATGTTGTTTTAAATTTTGGTATTGGGTTTCCTGTAAGCACATCTCTTCCACTGTTAATTAGTAGTTGATAAAAAAAATAGATACCAAACACAGCTGAACTAACAATTACAGCAATGTATTCATTTTGATTCCCGAATTTTGTTCCACAGATTATATACCAATCTTTGTGCTTCCAGTTTACTGTAGGCTGCATGGCACAATGAAAGTCAAAATACCCTTCATTATAATTTGATGCACATAAATATTTGTTTTTGCTT